ATAAACGTGCTCATTCATATTAGTGACACATCATTTAGTTTGTAAATTTAGTTTCCAAATTTAATCTCTCTAACATTACCCTAAGCCTCCACTTTAAATGAAACCAACAAAGAACAACGAAATTAGGAGGTTTCTCGAAACGAATAAATTATAATTTATTGACTGATTTTGATTTTGAAGGCAATTAGCAAGATTTTGATTTGTGTTATCCCTTGAATAATTGCCAAGGGAGTATAATCAGAATTTATTTTGTCATCAAAATGTATGTAGTTTTGTTAACAATATAAAAACCGATTTGACTGAAAAGTATGCAAACTGATTATGCGTGTATTTGGAACTAATTCTAGAAATAAAGGATACAAACTGATTATATATATAATTCTGAAAGTGATCTTGCAAAAAATGGTCGATGAGGATATGAGTTGATGACACACACTAATTTCTTTAAAGTTGTATGGGCTGGCGATGCCGTATGCCACTGAAGCTCAAAGGAAAATTTTATAGGACGGCAATAAGGCCGGCGATGCTGTATGGCACAGAATGTTGGGCGGTGAAGCATCAACACGTACACAAAATGGGTGTAGCGGAGATGAGGATGCTTCGTTGGATGTGTGGGCACACGAGAAAGGATAATATTAGGAATGAGGATATCCAGGGTAAAGTAGGAGTAGCCGAAATTGAAGGAAAGATGAGAGAAAATCGGTTACGGTGGTTTGGACATGTGCAAAGAATGCCTACTGACACTCCGGTTCGAAGATGTGACTACGGGACAGAGGTTCAGGGCCGAAGGGGTAGAGGAAGATCTAGGAAAACTTTGGAAGAGACCCTACGAAAAGACTTAGAGTACTTGGATCTAACAGAGGACATGACACAGGACCGAGCACAATGGCGTTCTAAGATTCATATAGCCGACCCCACTCAGTGACTTGGATTTTCCAAGTCTCCAACAGAGAAGTTTTCCTCACTCAAGAAATTAAGGGAACACTACCTCAACATACATGCTCCACTCACAAAGCTTCAACATACAAGCTTTAACAAAAGAAAAATTCAAAGAACTTAGCGAAGAAGGCTTTGGTGTATTTAACACAATACGTTGAAATGAAGCAAAACTTATTTATTGATATTCCCAATAAGTTACAACTATGTACATATACATGAGTCAAAATAAACAAACAAGAGGGAGCCTTCACAAAGGTTGCTTAGGAAAAGTCTCAGCAGTCGGTAAAGCCCCAGAAAGAGAAGGCACCGGAGGGGGATCATTCGGAGCCTCAGTACTGGACATAACCCTAGAAGGATGAGGCATCAGAGGTTGATCATTTGGAGCTTTATTACGCGGTACAGCCCCAGAAGACGAAGGCAATAAATATCTTTGGAACAAACCCACAAACCTCTAATGATCAAGTAAAACCTGACCATCAGATTGCTTCATCTGGTCAAGCTTCCTCTTCATGTTTGTAGCATAGTCATGTGCGAGCCGGTGCAACTGTTTATTCTCATGCTTGAGCCCTCTAATCTCCTGTTTTAGACTCATCACTTTAGCCGCCAATGATTCAACTTGGCGGTTCGAGCAAATAGGCGTTGGGCCATATTAGACACAGAACCTGCACACTGAACACTGAGAGCCAGAGAATCCTTAACAGCCAACTCATCAGATCGTTTGGAAAGTAGTCTGTTATCTTTGGGAATGAGAAGGTTCCTGGCCACCACCGCAGCGGTCATATCATTCTTCATCACGGAATCCCTAATGGTAAGAGGACCAGTAGGGGAGACGAAGGATGGGCGTCATATGTTGTCTGGATAAGGCATGGCTGCCTCTTCAACAAGGTTCAAGTCAAAACGACGGTCGGAGGGGCCAGACATGTTCAAAGGTGTTGAAGAGAGAAGCGGTCAGACAAATCAAGATCTTAGAAGTGCAAGAATGGAGCTTCTACTGGTGGAGATTCAAGTGTGCTTCGGAACTTAATGCCAGCCTCTATAAAAATCTGCGCTCGACGGAGCTTCAGAAATTGAAGAGGCACCTGCTCAGAAATTAAAGAGGCGTTTGCTTTCTCAAAAGCTGGGCTGCTCAAAGACCACGAAGGCCGATCTCAGAAATCGAAGAGGCGCTTACTTTCTCAAAAGATGGGCTGCTAAGAGACCACGAGGGCCTATCTCAGAAATCGAAGAGGCACCTACTTTTTCAGCCTTGTCAGCACCTGTCACACGCACACTCAGCTTGGCGGAAATTACGGGCATTATGTTGAAGATTTCTGGTGAAGTAGAAAGCACATGAATCTTACTGTTTAATCACCCACTTTCCACACACAACATTAGCTCATGGGTACCACATATAACTTTGCCAAAGTTCTCTGACAAAGTTGAGACACGTGAAGCTTGCAGCTCCCACTATATCGCTCTGACCAAGAAGGGTAAAAGAATAGCAAAGAAACAGCACTAACAAAGTTTAGACACATAAATTTTGAAGGTCTAGCTACCATATTATTACCCATAAGGGTAAAGGAACAGTACCACTGCTGGATAATTGGAAAGTCCCTGTGTGTCAACCTCTGTGCTCCGTGGCAAGGTAGACTAGCAAACATGCCCAACCTTTACTCACATTCGAGAAAACACTCCCAACAAGATTGCTTGCTCCAAAATCGAAGAGGCACCGCCCTCCGAATCTCGAGAGCCAGACTCCCAACATGATTACTATCTCAAAAATTGAAGAGACACCGCTCTCCGAATCTCGAGAGCCAGACCTCCAGCAGGATTGCTTTCTCAAAAATCGAAGAGGCATCGTTCTCCGAATCTCGAGAGCCAAATCCCCGACAGGATTGCTTGTTCGAAAACCAAAGAGGCACAACTTTCTTCACTTTGAGAGCCAGATCTCCTTGGATAAAGCTTGTCTGTAATCTCCAATTGTGCTATGACCAAGTAGGGTAAACGAATAGCATTACTACTTGTTGTTAGGGAAACTCCTATATATGTCGACCTCCATCCTTAACGGACAGGCAGACCTGCAAAAATGCTCAACCCTTCCTCATATCTGAGAGGGCACTCCCAACGAAACCTTTCGAAATATTCAGCTTTCTTTCCCCCCGATAATATCTCTGCAAACAAGCTATACCAGAGCAAGAATATCTCATATCATCAGGGTTAAAAGCAAGAGTATCCCATATCATGCTTTTTCCCTGTCTTTTCTTTTGGCCTTGTTCTTACCTGCAAGACAAGGAGAAAGAGAGCAATCAGTCAGCACTTGGAATCAAGCTTCCAGTCAGGAACTGACTGCCTGGAACCCCTTACCTGATTACTTACCTGGCATTGCTCTCAAGTACTCATCTTCAACATCTTATGCTTCCAGGGAAGATACCGCATCTGCCCGAGGAACAGATAGGGCAAGTGAGAATGATACAAGGAAGCATGTGGAGACAAGCGTAACAGCACACGTGCCGATACATCTACTACTTTGTCAAAAGCAAAAGTATCCCATATCAGCAGGGTCGGACGTACTCTAGATTTGATGGACATGTTTTGACCCTCAAATTCTTCAGTCGGCCTTATACTCTGGAGGAAACCAGAAAACCCTCCAGCCCAGTTCAAGAATAAGCCTGTGGAAAGTTACTTCTTCAAAAGCAAAAGTATCTCATATCATCTCTTCTCATTTTTCTTCTCTTTATCCTTCATGCTGCCTGCAAGATAGGGAGAATGAGAATAATCAGCTGGAACTCGAAATCAAACTTCTGATGTGGGACTGATTGCTTTGAGCTCTGATTGCTTACCTGGTCTGTCACCTCTTTTAGCAGATCCCCTAGCTCGGCGACTTGGGGGACTCTTACTACATGGTTTGTATCGCGCTTGACCAAGCCTGAAACTATAAGTAAGCTTCAAGTGAAATTGATACATTACCTTGTGCATCATCACCAGTTAAAGATACCACCCCTGGATGGAGGAAGAGTACTTCCAGAGAAGATGCCACATCTACCTATGAGACAGATAAGGCAAGTGAAAACGATACCACACTTCGGTACTTAGAAGTTTCGTGATTACGAGATCATTCTCCCACAATATTTCCTGATGTCATTTGTACTAAATCATTCACTTGTACTCACTAAAGGAGAGCTTGAACCTATTTACTTGTGTAAACCCTTCATAATTAATGAGAACTCTTATATTCCGTGGACGTAGCCAACCTGGGTGAACCACGTACTTCTTGTGTTTGCTTTCCTATCTCTATCCATTTATATACTTATCCACACTAATGACCGGAGCAATCTAGCGAAGATCACAAAAAGCGACCGTTTTCGCTACTTAGGATCTATCTTGCAAAAGAACGAAGAATTAGATGAAGATCTCAACCATAGAATACAAGCTGGATGGATGAAGTGGAAGAGTGCATCCGGCGTGTTGTGTGACCGTTGTAGGCTACTGAAGCTTAAGGGAAAATTTTATAGGATGACAATAAGGCCAGCGATGTTGTATGACACAGAATGTTAGGCGGTGAAGCATCAACACGTACACAAAATGGGTGTAGCGGAGATGAGGATGCTTCGTGGGATGTGTGGGCACACGAGAAAGGATAAGATTGAGAATGAGGATATCCGAGATAAAGTAGGAGTAGCCGAAATTGAAGGAAAGATGAGAGAAAATCGGTTACGGTGGTTTGGACATGTGCAAAGAATGCCTACTGACGCTCCGGTTCGAAGATGTGACTACGGGACAGAGGTTCAGGGCCGAAGGGGTAGAGGAAGATCTAGGAAAACTTTGGAAGAGACCCTAAGAAAAGACTTAGAGTACTTGGATCTAACGGAGGACATGACACAAAACCGAGCGCAATGGCGTTCTGGGATTCATATAGCCGACCCCACTTAATGGGAAAAGGCTTTGTTGTTGTTGTTGTTGTTGTTGTATTGAAATGACCACATACATCAAATAATGACGCCATCAAATTAGAAGTGTTAACAAGAAATGCAATCCTTGATTATTATATCAAATTTATTATTCTCTTATGACAAAAGAATACATCAAGAGCGCAATACTTTGGCAATTGCTGCAACCACATAAGCAACATCATGGAGAGCTTGGCTTTCGTCTTTGAAAGGACTGCCGCCGGAAAAACCTCTTTCGCATGAATCTGCGTTTGCGACGACATTAGTCATGGCTAGCTCTGCTGATTTATAATCATCTTTAGGGAAAGCTTCAATGGCTTGAGGAATATCAAGTTGGAAAATATCGGAGTAGTTAAATCTGCATTTTCCTGCGGGTACATTTCCCACATCTCTATTGATCAGCTCCTCGAGTTGGCGATTAGCGTCTCGTGCCTTAGCCCTAACTGCATCAATCATTATGATTCCTAAGCCTTTGACATCTGCTTTGGTGCTTCGAGGGTCTGATTGAAGGGTAGAGACGCAAAGATCCGGACATGGTGTTTGGTTGCATGTTTGTGCGATCAGATTGGCATCCATGGGAAAGAAGACCGTCAGCCTGTTGCAGTGGCTAGTTGGAAGAAAGAAAACTAGACAAACAATTTGAATGAGAAATATCAGTGCTTTTGTTGAAGGAGAGTTCGAATTATTCTTCAGCTTTTCTTTTCTGGTGCGCACAAAAAAATAGGGTAACCTTTAGGACTTCGGTATTTTGTGGTTGGCTTATAGAATATGGGGGTATATATAGGCAATACAGGAGGGCAAAACTAGGATAGAAATATCAGTGCTTTTGTTGAAGGAGAGTTCGAATTATTCTTCATCTTTTCTTTTCTGGTGCGCACAAAAAAATAGGGTAACCTTTAGGACTTCGGTATTTTGTGGTTTTGGCTTATAGAATATGGGGGTATATATAGGCAATACAGGAGGGCAAAACTAGGATAGAAATTTTATCACATCAAAACCCAATCAGAGTTATGTCAACATAATTCCTTAAAAGTTAAAAACAAAGAAACCTAAATTTTAATAAAATGACATAAAACAAAATCCCTAAATAAATAAAATATTTTCCTTTTTTCTTTTCGGACCGGATAAATCTACAAGAGCCCAGTATGAGATCTTCATCAATATTAATTGGTGTCACAATCACTTTACATAGAGAGTAAATCAATCGGATTTTTGCACACAAGGGCCAGTTTGGTGAGCTAGCTAGGATATGTGATTTTCTTTTGAGAGAAAGTACGAATTTCATTAATCAGATAGAACATGTACGAAGAAACGGGATAGGATGCTAACAATGGGTCTCGATAAAAATCTTGTCGAGATTTCAACCTGATCGAAGGGAAAAAAAAAAAAAAAAAGTGTCCCTCACCAAATTAAGTAGTAAGCTTTTTTCAGTATCAATATGTGGTTCTTCTATTTGTTTGGATTAATTATATGGGTCGTTGAATAAATTATAATAGAAAAACATAAATGAATTTTTTATGTCCAATCCAGTCATCTACCAACAATGGACTGGATTTAAGTCCAATTGAGTGACACCCAGTTTAGTGTTTCCCCAACCAATGGATTGGGATTCAAAGCTTAACCAATCTCTACTAATCTTATTTCTAAGGGTCAATCTTATCTATCTTACAAAACGAGCCCCAAATTCTTTTACTCTTGTGGAGTGCCGAAAGGATGGAGATTGGACAAGTTCTTAGAAAGAAATAATTTGATTATAAAGGATATTCAAATTTTTACACCTTGTTGTACAAGTGTGGATCACAATTAGAGGTTTTGCCGTATTTTTTATCCTATACGGCATTGTATTCCAAATTGTAAAGGGATTTTAAAATTTTCAATTATTGAAATGACCACATAGATCAAATATTGACGCCATCAAATGAGAAGTCCCTGACAAGAAATGCTATTCTTGATTATTATATCAGATTTACTACTCTATCATGACAACAGAAGAATACATCAAGAGCGCAATACTTTGGCAATTGCTGCAGCCACATAAGCAACATCATGGAGAGCTTGGCTTTCATCTTTGAAGGGACTTCCGCCGGAAAAACGTCTTTCGCATGAATCTTCGTTTGCGACGACATTGGTCATGCCTAGCTCTGCTGACTTATAATCATCTTTATCGAAAGCTTCAACAGCTTGGGGAATATCAAGTTGGAAAATATCGTCGTAGTTAAATCTGCAGTCTTGTAAGGCTACATTTCCCGGATCTTTATCGACCAGCTCCTCGACTTGGAGACTAGCTTCGTGTGCCTTAGCCTTAACTGCATCAACCATTATGATGCCTAAGCCTTTGACATCTGCTTTGGCGCTTCGAGGGTCTGATTGAAGTGTAGAGACGCAAAGATCGGGATATGGTGTTTGGTTGCATGTTTGTGCGATCAGATTGGCATCCATTGGAAAGAAGACCGTCAACCTGTTGCAGTGGCTAGTTGGAAGAAAGACAACTAGACAAACAATTTGAATGAGAAATATCAGTGCTTTTGTTGAAGGAGAGTTCGAATTATTCTTCATCTTTTCTTTTCTGGTGCGCACAGAAAAATAGGGTAAACTTTAGGACTTCGGTATTTTGTGGTTGGCTTATAGAATATGGGGGGGGTATATATAGCAATACAGGAAGGCTAAACTAGGATAGAAATCTTTCCACATCAAAACCCAATCAGAGTTATGTCAACATAATTCCTTAAAAGTTAAAACAAAGAAACCTAAATTTTAATAAAATGACATAAAACAAAATCCTAAAGAAATAAAATATTTTCCTTTTTTTATTGTCGGACCGGATTAATCCACAAGAGCCCAGTATGAGATCTTCATCAATATTAATTGGTGGTGTCACAATCACTATACAGTAAGGCTAAACTAGGATCATGGTCTAAAATATTCATAATATCCCGATATTTCCATCGAAATTTCCGTGTTTTTGGACTACCGATATTTCCGATATCATCGATATTTTAGACCTTGCTAAGTCACTCATGTATCCTACCATGCAATGTATAAAGTGTAAAATATTGTACTAATTCATTATATATAAATGATTATGGTGTGTTTAAACTTCTTTCATTAATTACTGCATATTTTCTACACTCACAATGTTTGTCAGCTCGTTATATAATCAACTTAAATCAGTTATATTTATCATGCAATGCATTTCCTTCCAATTTTTTGTGATAAACTAATAGATAATTGACTAAATAAACATCCTGCAAAGTTTCAATAAAAATTTCCAAGTTTTTCTTACAATTTCCGTGGTCTTTATTCAATTTTTATTGATATCGATAATATCCCGATATTTCCATCGAAATTTCCTTGTTTTGAACTACCGATATTTCCGATATCATCGATATTTAATACCTTGACTAGGATAGAAATCTTATCACATCAAAACCCAATCAGACATGTCAACATAATTCCTTAAAATTTAAAACAGAGAAACCTAAATTTTAATAAAATAACATAAAACAAAAACCCTAAATAAATAAAATATTTTCCCTTTTTATTTTCGGACCGGGTTAATATACAAGAGCCCGGTATGAGATCTTCATCAATATAAATTGGATTTTTGTACACGAAGGACTAGTTTGGTGAGCTGGCTAGGATAAATGATTTTCTTTTAATTTGGACTTTGTTATAATCCAAAAATCGTACCTTTATGGATGACATTTTATTATCAAATATGTGGTTCTTTTATTTGTTTGGATTAATTATATGTGGCATTGAATAAATGAAAATTGAAAAACATAAATGAATTTTTTAAGTCTAATCCAGTCATCTATTGATAATGGACTAGATTTAAGTCCAATTCAGCCTCACCCAACTAAGTGTTTCCCAAACAATGGATTGGGATTTAAAGTGCAACCAATCCCTATCAACCCTATCTTTAATGGTATGTTTGGATGAAGGAAATAAACTTAGAATTTAGATAAAAGTCAGAAAGGATGGAGTGTCGAAAGGATGGAGATTGGACAAGTTCTTAGAAAGAAATAGTACGATTTTAAATGATATTCAAATTTTTACAACTTTTTGTACGTGTGGCTCACTTTTAGAGGTTTTGCCGTATTTTTCTAAGTTAGAATTGCAATATGGAAGCAAGTGGTAAATTCTACTTGTAATTAGGGCATTATTTTTCAATTTATAATGTTCGAGTTCAATTTTTTCTTTTTAATTCTAACAATATGGCTACTAGTACTACAGTCTAGTGGTATTCCTCTTTACTAATTAGTGAGAGGTCTTAGGTTTAACTCTCGTCAAAAACGACACCCCCACTTAGTGTAGATAATATCGATTTGTTCAAAAAAAAAATTCTAACAATATGGAAGCAAGTGGCAAATTCCACTCGTAATTAGGGTATTATTTTTCAATTTATTACGTTCGAGTTCCAATTCTTGTTTTTTTATTTTTATTTTTTTTAATAAAGTTTAGATTAGACATTTTTGCTTGTAATAAAAAAAATTTGTGACGTTGTATGACCTCAATCTTGCGCTTCTTGCCAAGCAAAGGTGGCGGTTGGTGCAAAATCCTGATTCCTTGGCGTCTCGGCTATTAAAGGCCAAGTACTTTCCTCAGAATACTTTCTGGCAGGCGTCACTTGGATCTTCCCCGTCAGTGTGTTGGAGGGGCATCTTGGAAGCACGATCAATTCTGGAAAAGGGGTCTCGCTGGCGGGTGGGGAATGGCAGCTCAATTAGTATATGGCAGGATCGGTATCTTAATCGTCCCCATCTTTTCTAACCTTTCATGCCTCCTTCTCCGACTGTTAGGGTGGAGTATGTGGCTGATTTGATTGTTCCGGAAACAGCGTCGTGGAACATTAACTTGGTTAATGAATTATTTCCTCCTCATGAGGCTACAATGATTCTTGCTACTCCGTTAAGTTGTAGACTCATGTCTGATAAATTAATATGGCATTATGATGCGAAGAGCTTGTTTTCTGTAAATAGTACTTATAAAGTTGCGTTTAATCGTCGCTTTGAGGCTTCATCGTCACAGTCAAACTTGAGGGGGGGCTTCAGTGTAGAAGGCAATATGGAGGATGACTATTCCAAGTAGAGTAAAGATGGAGGGCTTGCCGTGATATTTTGCCTACTCGTGCTAATCTGGAAACCAAAGGAGTGGTTATGGACAATATATGTCTGTTCTGTAGTTCCTCTTCGGTGTCGGCGCTACATGTGTTCAAAGATTGTCCATTCACTTGTGCGGTATACGCTTCTTCTTCATTGAGTGTGGGATCAAGGCTTGCGGGCCAAGTTTCAATGTGTGATTGGATGTCACTATGTGTGGAACATCTATCCAAAAGTCAAGTGAATTTTCTGTTCATGATTCTTCAAGTTATCTGATGTGCTAGGAACTTGCTACTTTGGGATAACAAAGCGAGTAATCTGTCCTTGGTCTATCATATTGCTAAGTTGCAGTTGGCTGAGCTTGAGAAAGCCAAACCCGGTTCCACTTCCCGTCCTCATTAGCCGTTGTTGCAATGTAGTCCCCCCCAGCTGAGTGGGTGAAAATTAATGTTGACGGTTATTTTCATACTGGAT